AACGACGTCACGTTTAATAATAATCGAAATAATCTAAGCAAAGACTAGGAAATTACATTTCCATCGGCAACCGTCCATGAGGATAATTTCGTTAGAAGCTACGGACGAAGGTTTATTATCTCTCTCTCTCTCTCTCTCTCTCTCCCTTCTTCCTCCTCTATCTATCTATCTCTCTCTCTCCCTCCTTCCTCCTCTATCTCTCTCTCTCTTTCTCTCTCTCTTGTAATCAAGAATCAGCTGAAGGAAGTGAGAGACATATATACATATAGAAAGAGCTAGAATGAGAGAGAAAGAGAAAGAGAAAGAGAAAGAGAAAGAGAAAGAGAAAGAGAGAGAGAGAGAGAGAGAGAGAGACAGGTACAGACAGATAGAAGTAAGAGAGACAGAGAGAGAGAGAGAGATAAATAGACAGAGATAGAATAAGAGAGAAAGAGAGGTATATAGGTAAATAGACAAAGACAGACAAAGACAGAGTGAGAAAGAGAGAGAGAGAGAGAAAGAGGGAGAGAGGGAGAGAGAGAGAGAGAGAGAGAAAGAGGGAGAGAGAGAGAGAGAGAAAGAGGGAGAGAGGGAGAGAGAGAGAGAGAGATAACTCGTTCTGGACGTTTTTCAATTTCGTCGCTGTCAATCGGATTGATTCGATGGAAGTACAAGCACAACGTTAGAGGTAAATTGAAATAAAGGGAAAAATAGGGAACGATTCGACTTTTAGTATCGATTGATCGGTCGTTTAGCCAACTCCAAACTTCCACGTTATGTTCGTTCACGTTCGTACGTACGTACGTACGTACGTTCGTTTGAATTCGAACGGGCAAACGCGAAATGACAGTTTTAATATCCTCCGAGGATAAACATTTATACGTGCCACCAGCAGGTGGTTGCGGCCAATCGAATGTATGCATAAGCGTTGAAAACAAATCGTGTTATTCCAGTTTAATTGCCTTTACGTGCTATTTATCAACCGTTCTTTATACCTTTACATTAGTTTTAGGATATGTTTTTGTACGAGGCCACCCCCCCACCCCCCCCCCCCAACCACCACTATTACCTATCCAGCAGCAAACTTATCAAACCATTGGACCATCCAATCAAATTTTTTTTTTTCTTCTTCTTTCTTCCTCTAATTTTTTTTTCTCTCTTTCCCTTTTTTTTTTTTTCTTAGTCTTCTTTCTTTTTTCTTCTTTTTTTTTTTTTAGTACTATTATTTCGTTTCTTCTCTCTCTCTCTCTCTCTCTCTCTCTCTGCCCTTCTACATTTTTATCGTCGTTCATTTGAATTCTTACAGAGAGAGGGGGAAAAGGGAGAGATAGATAGATAGATAGATAGATAGATAGAGAGAGAGAGAGAGAGAGAGAGAGAGAGAGAGAGAAAGAAAGAGAGAGAGAGAGAGGGAGGAGATGAATGTTTGAATCGAAGGAAGGATATATAACGTTTTGTTTGTATTTTATTTTATGTTTGTAATTTAATTAAATTACATTCGTTGAAAGTTTAATCGTTATTCGAAATCGGTTGTATATGTATTGAAATGTTTTGTATGTCAATCTATATACATACACATATAAATATACATTATACACGTAAATACATATGTAATATATATATATATATAATTATCTATAATCAAATCATATAATATAATTATCAGATTATTATTATTATTATTATTATTATTATTATTATTATTATTATTATTATTATTATTATTATTATTATTAATATTATTATTAATATTATTATTAATATTATTATTATTATTATTATTATTATTATTATTATTATTATTATTATTATTATTATTATTATTATTATTATTATTATTATTATTATTATTATTATTATTATTATTAATTTTATTATTAGAGAGATTATATATATATCATATATATATATCATATATATGTATATAATCTCTTTAATAACAATTATTAATAATTCTATAATAAACGTGATTACGATTTGATATAATATTCAATATTATTATCCTAACATTAATTCAAAATTTTTCCCTTGATCAAATATATTAAGGAAAAAAAAGAAAAAAAAAAAAAAAAAGAGAAAAAAAAAAGAAAAAAAAATGAGACAAAAGAATAAACGTACAAACGAACGAACGAACGAACGAACGAACGAACGAACGAACGAACGAACGAACGAATGAACGAACGAACGAACGTTTCACTTTATAAGCGAGCGGAAGTAAACGACGAGGGTAACACGCCGGAAAGGAAAGTTTACGAGGAGTGAGAGAAGAAACGCGGTACTGTTGGCAGCACTGAAAGAGAGAGAGAAGAAGAAAGAGAAAGAAAGACAGAAAGAGAGAGACAAAGAGAGAGAGAGATATAGAGAGAGAGAGAGAGAGACATGGAGAGAGAGAGAGACAGGGGAGAGAGAGAGAGAGAGACAGGGAGAGAGAGAGAGAGAGGGAGAAAGAGAGAGACTAGTGGCCGGGGTACGGTGATTTCCGAGTTACGGAGAAAAATTTCCATTGTAAAAGTCTACAAGC